GAGGTGAGGACTGATCATAGGTACCAAGGTCTTTCGCCTGGAGAAGACTCAAGGGGCCATGATAGCTGTCTTCAGATATTTGAAGAGCTCTCACGTGTGACTGATCGTTTGACCCTAGAGTTCTGAACCAGGAGCAGTGGTTGGAAGTTGCAAAAGGGAAACTTTGAACTTAGTGTTAGGTAAAACTTTCCAAGAATTAAAAATGTTCAAAAGTGGAATGGCTGGCCTTGAGAGGTTTCCTTTCAATCAATCAATCAATCAATATTTATTAAGTACCTGCTATGTGCCAGGCATTGTGCTAAGCACAGAGATACAGAAGGAGGCAAAAGACAGTTCCTGCCCTCCGGGACCTCACAATCTAATGGAGGTCAATTTCATTGAAGGTTTTTGAATACAGGCCAGAGAACATGCACCAGTTATGTAATAGAAGTGATTTCTTCAACTAATTGGTTCCTTTCCAACTCTGAAATTCTGATTGTAGTGTATTTAAATAGTGGGCCTCAGTAGTTTGTTTACTAATGAGCATAAAGGAATGTTCCACTAAGGGAATAAGGTAGAGGGCAGTAGACTACTGAAAATCAATATACTGAGCTGTGGCAAAGCTGGTCAGCCTCTGGTTGGCATTTACCTGGGATGTGACATCTCTCAGGAAAAGGATAAATGTGACTGCCTTAGGTGACTGCACCTGTATTTGTGTCATTGTTAAATCAACTCATTATAGTTAAGCAAACTCCTTGAACATGGGCTGTCACCCTTCCTTGAATCCATAAACAAACTATTAAATTCTGTCAAGGAGGGTGGGATTGAGTTTCCATTATCTCATTGGAAATGGGGAAAGACAGCACTGAAGATTAAGCTGAATCTGCTTTTTTTTTTTTTTTAATTTGGGTGAGTCCCCACCCAGATTTCAGTGCAGTTAGATTTGGCCGAGGCAAAAGGAAGGGCCTCTTGTATGTAGAACAGCCAATTTTACTAGGTATATCAAAAAATTTTGCTATTGATAAAAAGAAAACTTACAATTTTGTTTAATGTAAATTTTACTTACTTGGTATGTACAATATGATGTAGTATTCACAAAATTTTTTTCCTATGCATTTTCATATGCATTAGTCTCAAAACAGGTCAGACTTGAATGTGCAAATTATGAAACAAAAAAATGACTGTTCTTATTAAAGGGCTATGGTATACACATGTATCCTGACCCTTGTGGTGTCACCAGATGAATGTTCACTGTGTCATGATACTATATTGTAAGCAAGAAAAGGATGGGATCTCCCTGTTTTATTCCTCACCTGATGTTTGGTCATTGAACAGGACTAGTTCTGTTGTTACCTCTTCAAAGGAATCCTGAATGGTCTTCCCATATGGATAGGAGATACTTGGTTGTTAAAAAAAAAGTCTTTTGTTCCATGTGAATAAAATAATATAAATTAAATAAGTTAAAAAAAACAAAATGCATTTGTGTGTGTGTGTGTGTGTGTATCAACAAAAATAAGCACAGTGAGATCTTAAATTCTTTACATCTTTGGTTCAGTTGTGAGATGGTAAAGATGGAGTCCGCTGTTGCCTCCTCCCCTGAAAAAAATGGAAAGCACGAAAGCCGCTTACACAGAAGATATGAGTAGGCAATGTAAGATGAAAAGACGAGGCCTTTGATTAGGACTTTTGTGTGTCCCTGATCAGTGCAAACAGCTGTATTGATTGACTCAATCCTGGCATGTGGGCAACATGTGAGGGACTCTTTTTAGATATGAGCTGCACTCTGGACCTCCAAAAGAGAGATGTGCCAGAGGGTAGGAGTGGGTGGAGCCAAAAAAGGAAGACAGAGAGTCAGAGACAGAGGGTTATATAGAGACCAGAGAGTAACCCTTGGCTGAGGCGGGTCAAGCACAGTCCCCTTGGGACCATCTGCTCCATTCCACGTGATGCCAGAAGTGACTGCCATGGAGACAGTGGCAGGGCCTTTTAACCTGAGAAATGGTGGCAGCAGGAAGCAGTGGGAGGGGGCAAGAGTAGCCACACCCCAAGTTCCCGGATGTGGAGAACCAGTGGTTCAACCTCTTGGTGTCCAAGATGGTGGCCCAAGATGGCAGCTTGGCTCCAAGAAACAGCAGCACTCAGAGCAGTGGTGGGATGACAGAAACGTTCTTGGACTTGTCTTCCTGTGGAGTGATGGGTCCTGGGAACCAGACTTCTAGGAAGAGAAGGGGCATGTAGACAATGCCTCTTAGAGATCAAGAAGATGACCACTAAGGGGGAGTGGCAAAGGACTTGGCCACGCTGTAAGGGAGCAAAGCTGGCTTCCTTTCTATTACTGTGAGTTATTTTGGACCACACAGGCTGGACGGAAAGGGAGCTGCCTCTTGGGTAGCCCCAAGTGCCCAGTTCCTTTCAGGGGAGTCCCAAGCACTTAGGGTTGTACTCTAAATCTGAGGGACCATATAGGTCCCAAGGATTATGTGATCCTGTAGTGGGCTTGTCTGGGAATGACTTCTTTTAGGCCAATGCTATTGAGTCAGGACAGACTGCTTCAAAATCACACCACACAAGTGTATCTGTGGGGATGATGTTTTTCTTTTCTGCTTACATTATCTTGAATTCCATCTTAGATTTTTTTCAGTCATTTTAATTGCATTTTCTTCATTTTTATTTGTTTCTGGGGTTTGAGACAAACCTTTACAAAGCACCGAAGCAGGTATGAACCCAGACAAACTTTATGCAATTATGTGTTGTGAGTGATTGTAAGTAGCAAGGCCACCTGATTTTGGGAGGTCTGGACCCTCATTTTGGGTGTGTCTAAATACTGGGCCTTGTGACTCTAACAGGAAGATGTGTCACTCAGGCAAAGTACTCTGAAAGGGAACTGCTTTATTTGCTGACAATCTGTTGGGCATCATGTAGTCTTTCCAAAGGCCCAGACAGCTGGAATTGGGAACATTGGGCAATGTAGTTGGGAGTCACCCTTGTTGGATTTTCAGAGAATGCAAATTTGTATCTGGGAGGAGTGTATAGAGGGTGTTATTCTGAAACCTTGGGCTACTTAACAAAAGATGACTTCTATTTTGGACTCCAAGCCTATGTATTAAGTGCAAAGTTGTTCACTGATTGGTTGAATCCTGGTGTTTTGGGATGATTTTACTGGTGAAAATCAAAAGAGGATGCTTGGTGCTGTGATGGTGTCAGTCAAGATTTCGGGTTATGTGTCAACTCTGACCAACTAACATCTGAGCCTAGACAACTCGTAAGTTGTAGGGAAGGCAATGTCCTGTTATTGGTAGAGGGAGTGAGTTCCCTCTACCAGTGAAATCACAGGCCCAATCTCTAACCCATGATTGGGTCAGGCCAAGCTGTACCATGGCCCTATACAAGATCTTCCAGAGGTTTGGAGAGAGATGAAGGGACGCCTGAGCACAGATTAGAGACGCCGCACCTAAAAACAGACCCTGGCGTCTCCAGAGTAAAGTTTATAAATGCCAGCACAGCCTTCTGGAGCAGGTCTGAGTTCTTGGGGACAACTGGTAGAATCACATGGCCCCCACTACTGCCTGGAAAGTTATCTGGACTGTGCAACTCTGATGGGTGAAGCTAATTTCTAAACTAGAACAAATACGTCCCTTCCCCATCCAAAACATAGGGTGCGAGTTCAAATCTGGCCTTAGACACTAACTAGTTGTATGACCCTGGGCAAATGACTTAACCTTTCTGCCTCAGTTTCCTCAACTGCAAAATGGGATAATAATAGGACTTATGTCTCAGAGATGTTGTGAGGATCAAGTGAGATATTTGTAAAGCGCTTAGTTAAATGCCTGGAACATAGTAGGTGCTTCATAAACGCTTATTTTCTTCTTTCCCTGACCACAATGGTTGTCCTCAGCCAGTCCAGTTTCTCCAGTCCCAGGACAGCTTCCCATCTCATTTCCTCTGCTTCCCACTGAGAATGAAGATCCATACCACTTCTACATCTGAGATACTCTTCCAGAACGCAGCTGAGATCTACAGTGCCCCTATCCTAGTTCTCTAACTAAAACATCAGAAAACTTCAGGATTGATTCACAAAGATGGCACTACATGTTACTAGCCAACATCTCCCAAGCGCAGTGGATATGAACAAGTGTTTCATATTCTGTGAAGCCAGACATAACTGACCTTAGAGAAAATTAATCTACTTGAGGCTTATCAATTATCTGTAGATTTTATTTATTCTCTCACACCAAAAATGTCATCCGAGTTTAAGTTTGGATACTAAAATTTCACTAGGTTCCCCTTCTGTTTTCAAGAAAGCACAGTGTTTTAGGAAGTTTTATTTTGCTTTATTTGGGCCCCTTTTACAGCACCATGATTTCCTTAATTTACTTTTTCCCACCCCATCCACCCCCCGAACCCTCCCTCATAATGAAAAAAAAAAGTTAAACCAGGGTTGTGTTGGACAGCACATGCAACATTCTGCGCCTGTAGTTTTCTGCCTCTCAAACAAAGGGAAGTCTATGTCATCGTATGTTGTGTTAGAACTGTTCGGTTACCTCTTAGTGTGGCTCCCATGCATGTCATGGAAATCATGTCGTATGGTGTTCACCTGAATCTGCTGTCTGTGTTCTACATCAGTCACATGGCTAACAGGCTCTTTGGTTTAGATCGACAAGTGACCTTGGAGGTCCACATTTCTCAGAGGTCCTATTTTAGACTTTTAGCCCTGTGCATTTCCTATTCAGGAGGGTATAAATTAACTACCACTTGATGTCAGTAGCATACTGCAGGAAAGAGAAGACTATTTTTTTTCTTTCTCAGTTTTGTTCTTGTGAATCTTATTTAATGTAAGCTTCTTGAGAGCAGGGATGGCTTCATTCTTTCTATTTCTATTTCCTGTGCGTGGAACAAAATGGGTGTTTAAGATCTGTTGCTCAATAAATGACAAATATGACTAAAGCTTTAAACACTCTGTTAATTCCTATTTTGAAAGCTGCGGTGAGGAAGAAATCACACTTGAAGGCCTTCTAACACTCATTATGTTTATAACTTTTCTATCCCGATATGAATTCTCTGATGTTGAATGATTATGCATCTGCACTGAGTGGAAGCCTTTCTTATGAGCTCTACTTCTAAGGTTTCTCTCCAGTATGAATTTTCTGATGTTGAATACACTGTATCTTCTGGATGAAGCCCTTTCCACATTCATCACATTTGTACGGTTTCTCCCCAGTATGTGTTTTCTGATGGCGGGTGAGAGACATACTCTGGCTGAACACTTTCCCACATTCACTACATTTAAAAGGTTTTTCCCCAGTATGAGTCCTCTGATGTCTAGTAAGGAATATATTTTGGCTAAATGCTTTGCCACATTCATTACATTTATAGGGTTTCTCTCCAGTATGAATTCTCTGATGGAGAGTGAGGCTACAGCTATGACTGAAGGCCTTTCCACATTCCCTACATGTGTAGGGTTTCTCTCCAGTATGAGTTCTTTTATGAGAAATTAGCGCTGAGCACTGCCTGAAGGTCTTACCACATTCATCACATTTATAGGGTTTCTCTCCAGTATGAGTTCTCTGATGCTGTGTTAGGTAAACTTTCTGTTTGAACGCTTTTCCACATTCGTCACATTTATAGGGTTTTTCTCCAGTATGAATTCTCTGATGATGAGTAAGTCCAGCACAATGAGTGAAAGCTTTCCCACACTCATTACATTTGTAAGGTTTCTCTCCGGTATGAATTCTCTGATGTTGAGTAACCTGGTTTGTGTGGCGGAAGGCCTTTCCACAAACATTACATTTACAAGGTTTCTCTCCGGTATGAATTCTCTGATGTAAAGCGAGGACTGCGGTATCATTAAAAGATTTTCCACATTCACCACATATATGGGGCTTCTCCCCAGTGTGAATCCTCTGATGTCGGGTGAGATACAAACTCCGACCAAATGCTTTTCCACATTCACTACATTTATAGGGTTTCTCTCCAGCATGGCTTCTCTGATGCTGAGTAAGACTTCCCTGCTGTGTGAAGGTTTGCCCACATTCATTGCATTCATAGGGTTTCTCTCCAGTATGTATCTTCTGATGCCGAATAAGGTACTGACTCAGGCTGAAGGCTTTGCCACACTCACTACATTTAAAGCGTTTCTCGGTGGTATGAATTTGCTGGTGTTGAATAAGGTATTGACTAAGACTGAAGGCTTTGCCACACTCATTACAATGATAGGGCTTTTCTGCAGTATGAATTCTCTGATGTACATTGAGTGACGAGCTGTCACTGAAGCATTTACCACAATGACTACATTTAAAGGGTTTCTCTTCACTATGCAGCGTTTTGTGTCGAATGAGGTGAATTTTCTGCCTGAAGGCTTTTCCACATTCGTTACAATTATATGGTTTCTCTCCAGTGTGAATTCTCTGGTGCTGAATAAGGTGCATGCTCTGTCTGAAGAATTTTCCACACTCACCACACTTATAGACTTTGTGTCCAGCATGATTTATCTGAGGTTGAATAAGGTGCTTCTTTTGTGGGAAGGCTTTGCCAAATTTGTCAAAATCAGAGATTCTCTCTATAGGAGGTATTCTATTATACTGAAGAAGGTATGAGTTGGAATTGGAAGCTTTACTGTATTCATATTTATAAGGTTTCAACCCTGGGGAAATTCCATTATATTTAATTAGTTCTGAATACTGTTTAAAGCTATTTCCATCTGTATCATATTGATGAAGACTCCTTTTTGTAGCAACGCTCTGTGGTGCAACAAGAAATGACATTTGTCCAAAACTCCTCCCCAAATTACCTGCTTGGCTTCTCATCTCACTGGGTATTTTCTTGGGGACAACTGTTACTTCCCTTGACTCTTTCTCTTGGCCCCTGCGCTGCTTCTTGAACTTCCCATCATACTCCCATACTTGTCCTGAGGGACAATTCCAGGGATCATCACTCTTGAGTTTTTCCAGCAATGACTCTTCCATATACATGCCCCGTTTTGAAAAGGCCTCCTTGATCTCAGGCTGCCTTTTCCAATCTGAAAGGAGAAAAAAAAATCCATGTTTGTGTGTGTATATACATGTACACATACCTGTGCTCCCTTTTCTCTGTGCCAAGAGAGAAGAAACAAGTCCTCACTTTTCAACAGATACTTATTAAGAGCTAATGAGACCAGTGAGGAATGATATGCAATGGGACCTTACTCATGCAGTGAATATCAACATCTGTGAAGGGATATCACCAAGAAACCCTGCAAATAAAATGAACATGGGAGAGTGCATTGGCTTTATTTCATCATTAGAGAATTCAGACTGGGAGAAATTCTCCAATTCTAAAGACGAAGGCAGGCCTCCTGCCTCCTGGAAGAATCCTGGTACAGTGATGCAGGAGAGGGCCCTGGCTCATAGCACAAGTTAAAGCAGACTTGGGAACAAAGGTAGGGAGGCAGTCTTCCTGACCCCGCATCAGGTATTTCCTTTGGTGGATTCTATAGGACCTGTGGTTTCTGAACCGCTCTTTCTGCTTCATTCTAGAAGGTACCAGTATTCAGTGCTTAACACAACACAGTGCTTGTAGATTTAAAGGGATATAACACATACTAAGGATTCAATAATTTCCAAATCATAAAGTACCAAAAGGACAAAGGTTGAGGAGAGGTCAACCAAAAAGGTGGGAAGGTAGTGGTTGAATGAGGGTCCCTGGTGTTAGAGAATAAGTTGATAGACCAAAGGATCATGGATTTAGAATTGGCATGGATTGTAAAGGCCACTGAGCTCGATCCCTTCATCTTACAGATGAGGAAATGTAGGCCTAGATTCATCAGTCAGTCCACAAGCATGTATTAAGCACCTACTATGTGCCAGGAACTGTGCTAAACAGTCCCTGCTCTCAAGGAGCTCCTAGAACTTAGTTAGATGACTTGCCTAGGGTCACAAGGCTAGTGAGTGTCAAAGGTAGGACCTGAACTCAGGTTCTCTTGACTCCTGTCTCGGGGCTTCCTCTTGATAAGGACAATAGGAAATATCAAAGGACCAAGAAGTATTTATGAAGACACCTTGGAGTTAAAACCCAGGCCTTCATTCTTTTCCTACCAGATGCCTATAATAGGCTATCGTCCTTGCCTCCCCTCTCTGGCTTTGAAAGCCCTTCATGATAGACATTTCCCTTTCCATTCTTCTTCCTCTGTTCCTTCCCATGTTCACTTCGATGTCCTAGCAACACCGACCTTCTTGCTGTCCCTCAAACATGCCTGGAAACTCTCTGGCCTTGTCTCTCTTTCTTGGCTTCTTTCAAGACCCAGCCAAAATCCCACTTTGTACCAGAAGCTATCCCGAGACCCCACTTTACACTTTCTGTGCTGATTACCTCTGAAGTATCTTGGATAGAGCTTATTTGTACATAGCTACCTGTGTGTTGTTCCCCGCACTAGACTCTGAGCTTCTTTAGGGCCAAGATCGTGATTTTGCCTTTCTTTATACCCCCATTACTTTAGCAAAGTGCCTGGCATTCAGTAAAAGCTTGTTGACTGACTGACTCCAAAGCCTGTGCTGTTCCTCCTGTATCGTGCTGCTTCTCATGGGAGCAGAAAGGATTGGATTCTGAATGTACGTGGAAGGATTAGCCTGGAAAACAAGGAAAAACACCTCTTAGCCCTGGAGTAGAGAGAACTTGGAGAGAGATGTCAGGAACACGGCTGCATGGTAAAGGAGGAGGAAGGGTCTCCGTTCATTGTCGAAGAAACAAGAAAAGGCTGCAGACAAAGTGTCATTCAGCATTGATGCCCAACGACTTCCACCCTTCTCCACAGGCCTGAGGACATAGGGGGGGTTTGGGGGGTGCTTCTTGTGCATAATTTCAGAAATGGTTTTCCCTGACTTGGTGGCAGAGCTGTTGTTCTGGTTATTCCCACCTCTTGGTTTTCCTTCGCTTACCTAGACAGGAGGGTCTGAGGACTTTGTTCTCCAGTGTCCACGGTACTTCTGTTCGCTCCAACCTGGCGATCACATCTGGCTTAAAAACCTGAAGCCCTGCTCGTAGAAAAGGAAACAGCAAAGTGTCTGGAGCATGGTCATCAGGAATTCATTCCCAATCCCATCTACTCCTAGGAAAAGGGCATGTTAGGAAGGGGAGGGCAGCGGCTGGCACACTGTGCCTTGGAAGCAGGCTTCTAATTACACTGCTATGAAATACAATTGCACAATGGATTGGAGAATCCAATAATTACTTCACTTGATCCTTTTCCTGCTAGGATAGAGACTATCTTCAACCATCAATCTCTTCAAGCATTTGAGTTAGTCCTTGAAAGAGGACATCATCCACACACTCTATAATCCAGCTACCCTGGCTGATCTGCTGTTCCTCTAACACGACACTTCATGTCCCCTTCCCGGTGTCTTTGAACTGGCTGTCCCCCATGCTGGAAATGCCTCTTAAGTTTCCTTGGCTTTCTTCTGAGACTCAGCTCAAATCCCTCCTTTCACAGGACACCCGTCCTGGTCCTCAATCAAGCCCCATGGGCTGATGCCTTCCCTGAGATTACCTTTCAGCTACTCTGTGTATCTTGTGTGTACCTCATTATTTACATGTTGTGTCCCCCATTAGAATGTGAGTTCCTAGGACCTTGTTTTTACCTTCCTTTGTGTCCTCAAGGCTTAGGACACTGCCTTGCACATAGTTACCACTTAATAACAGCTTACTGACTGAGGAAATGGAACGTCTAGTCCCGGATCGTGGTGAAGCTGCCAATTTCCAACCATTTAAAGCAAAGAGAGCACAGTGCAGAAACACTCTTGTTTCTTGTCTCTCTCTTCTCCCCGAGGCCACACTTCAAAACCTCACGAGGCTATCCTTCATTTTCTCCTCTCTACTTTAGTTTCTGGGGAAGAAGTGGGCTTTCTTCTTGCTAAAGCTAACCTCTCTACTTTCTGGTTTTCCATCTCTGCTGGGAGCTTGTCCTGTCAATCATACCTTCTCCCTTTTATCTTCAACCTCTTCCCATCCCAACTCCTTCCCTGTTAAGCAGAAACATACCCAGGTCTCCTGGGTCCTTAAGAAATCTTCACTTGGCCATCCTACCCATTCAAGATGCCACCTCCCTTTCACAGAAGCCGTCAGAGATGGTTGTCTAGATTAATTCCCTCCACCTCCTCATGTCTCAACTTCTTAACCTCTTGCGTTCTGGCTTCCAGCTGTACTGAAGCTTTCTTCCAGGTTACCAATGATCTTATCACTGTTAGCCAAGTCTTTGCACTCCTTACCTCTAGCTCACGACTGACCATCTTTTCTTCCCACATATTCTTTCCTCCCTAGGTGTCCATGGCACTGCTCTTTTTTCCTTCTCCTCCTCCTCATCAGTCAAGTCAGTAAGCATTCATTAAGTGCTTACTATATGCGAAATACTGTGCTAAGTGCTAAGAATACAGAGAAAGGCAAAAGCATAGTCCCTGCCCTCAGTGAGCTCCCATTCTAATGGAGGAGACAACACGGACATAACAAGGTACAAACAAAATACATACAGACTAGATGGAAGGTCATCCCAGAGGGAAGACACTGGTAGCTGGGAGGCCTGGGAAAAGCCTGCAGAAGATTGGGTTTGGGCTGAGCCTTGAAGGAAGCCAGGAAAACAAAGAGGCAGAGGTGAGGGAGTAGGGTATTCCCTTCCCAGAAAAAGGCATGCAGATGGGAATGGAATGTCGTGTGTGAGGAACCATAAGTAGGCCAGTGTGGCTGGGTCTGAGAACACAAGCGAGAAGTATCAGAAGCATGGGAAGGTAGGAAGGGGCTAGGCTGGGAAGGGCGGCTTTTCTGACTGTTCCTTCTCGACCTCCTTTCATGAAGATTCAGCCATCTCTCACTAGCTCAGCACACCTCCTGCCAAGGTTCTGTCCTGGGCTCTCTTCTCTTCTCTTTACGCTAGATCTTAATTCTTTTGGCGTCATGCACTTGGTGGATAGTCTGGTGACACCCGTGGACCCTTTCCCAGAATAAGGATTGTTGCCTACATTTATAATTGAAGTAAATGTTAAATTTTAGTTCGATCAGTAGGAAAAAAATGTAATATGATTCTCATCTAAATTCACAGACCTTAGGTTATGGACTCTTGGGATAAAACTTAATAATAATGAAAGGTGTAATGATATTTATATAGCACTTTAAGATTTGCAAGTGTTTAATAAATATTATCTCATTTGATCCTTACAAAAGCCCTGAGAGCTAGATGTTATTATTAGCCCCATTTTACAGACAAGGCACCTCAAATGGTGTCTGGAACATACTAGTGCTTAATAAATGTGTGATGAAATATTAATAGCCTCGCTCTGTATGCCAGGCCAAAACTCAGCTAACAAAGTCACATCCTTTTTCCCACTCCAGACTTCAGAAAATGAGAACAGAAAGATATCTAATGGGAAACGTTCTTTGTCCTTGAAGAAAGCCATCCTTACCCAAGGAGACCAGGTTCCTGTAGTTCTCCAGCATCACATCCCTGTATAAGTTCTTCTGAGCAGGGTCCAGTTGTCCCCACTCTTCCCGAGTAAAGTCCACAGAAACATCCTTGAAAGTGACTGATTCCTGAAAGATCAAACACATTCCTATTTATTTAGGGCTCCTTCTGGCCCCAAATGATGTGGGGAGAGGTGAAAGTAGAAGGCAAGATAAGGACAGTTATCAGAGTCCTGAGTGGACACCCTCAAATGTTTACTGGCCACTTCAGAATTGCTGCACTTTGTACTGAACTGTGTAGCATGTAGAAGTTCTGGTTTATTCTGTAGCCCCATACCCCTGACACCTCATCTCCCAATAGGAATGCCGAGGAATCACCTCCTTCACTTATTAAGCCCCTAATCTAAGCACATAATTCATGTAAGATACAGCTTGAAATCAGACACAGGACACCATTGCCCAAATGTTAATTTTTCATTACACATAATCACTGTCATAATGTTATAGGATTTGTAAATCAGGAAACAACCTTTGAGACCATCTAGTGTAAGAATCATTGAGGCCAGCAAGTCAGGATCTGGCATGACTCACCCTACAACATCTGGTTTTGTGGCTTTTGCAACTTCCCCTTCCTATACCGTATATAAAGATCTGGTTGTTATTTAGGATTTTTGTCACTGTACTGCTAGCCTTCTTTTATGAAGATGAAGGAGACTGCTCCCTGAAAATGACCATATATATGCCTATGTGAATATTCATGACCTCATGACATTTTGGGTATGAAATGGAATTTTCCCCTTCACAGTTATGATTGCATACCTCTCTCCCTTGTTAAAATCCACACCTATATCAACAGTAATGCTTCCATGCTTTGTGTGTGTTAAATGAAGTTTCATATACAAAAGGGCATGGAGGTGTCCCCTTGATAATTATAACTGCAGTTCCCTTTCCCCTTTTGGAAATCCAATCCTGTATGAATGTGTAAGATCTCAAGAGCAAGCCGCAATCCCCTTGATGATGAGCCTTGTTGGCATTGCTTGCTATTCAGCTGGAAACAGGCCTTGAGGTTGCTTCTTTGGCAATAATTGAGTAATTAGAGATAAGGGAACTCAGCTGGTTTGAAAACAGAATTTTTAAAATTAATGTTGACTGCAGGCTTTTTGTTTCCCACAGACCTATGCAGTTTACTGATTCGCTGTGCTGTTCTTCATATCTACAGACCTAAGATCTTTCTTTGTCTCCAAAAATCAGACTTCATAAATAATTCCCATTTTGGGCCCTGGTGGAAGAGTTTTTTTTTTTTATGATACTTTGCCTTCTGAGATGATAGGCAATGTTGTTCTTAAATCCCTCAGTTTAAGAGGTCTTGACAGTGACATGGAATATTAGCAATCCAATCCTATGCCTGCCATCCCCATGTAGGTCAGTCAGTTACACAGAATCACTGGGAATCTTCTATCTGGGGAGGCATAACTAAAACATCGGAAAAGGAGGGGAGCAATCTTTGATGGGGCCACCCTCTGCAAACTGCTCAGAGAATACAGGAGTCATGTGATCCACATAATCGGTGTGAAACACAACCTACAGACACAAAGTAAGGTGCGAACTAGCAGAACAAAACAGGATCCCATGGTCTGAGCATGAGGCCACCCTCAGCTGGCTGTCAAAAAAAAGGTTCTTCAATAAATTTCAGTAGGATTCTAAAAGTTTGTGGTCTCCTTTGGTGTAGCTGCTGACATTACAAAATCCCCCATTTAGGGAACATCTGCTGCTAAATGGTGGGGGCCATTGATGGGAGAGCTTGAGCACCTCTTCATTTCAAAAGCTCCCACACACCTCCAATGAATTCACCAATTCCTTCACGGTCACATACTAACTAATCTATTATTTCTGCTACATACAAAGATTTACAAGTATATAATCTTATACTGTCTAATAAAACATACTTTCTAGTGGTAGCTATCTGGGACTTAACAATTTACCCAAATAATTGACCTTTAACCACCTCCTACATTCTAGTCAGACACTACAGGAGTCCCTACAAATTACTTCCCTCAAAAGTGCACTCACGGTACTTTGGACCCAGGTCTTTCTGGCTCCAAGGCTAGACCACTAGTCTTGGAATGAGCCTCCAGGGACGACTCTCTAAGCAATACACGCAAAAAAAGTATTCAACAAACTTAACTGAAACCAAGAGCCAACTTTATTTGCATATATCAGAAGCAATGCCATTAAAAATTATAAGAAAGCAAGGCTATCTACTGCTGTTATTGCTTTTCAAAAGAAGTCAAAATGCTAGCAATGGCCAGTACTGAATGCAGGGGAGGGGAAGTCCTGTGATCTTGATGTGAGTATTCCCATGAGTACACATTGTACCCCGTTCAAATTTTCTTATCCCATGCACTATCTGTCTCTATTATCCGAGATCCTCCACAGAAGGTCCACCCCATAGGCTAAAGGCCTTTCTCCAGGGCTTTTTTCCATTTTGTGGGTCCTAGCACAGCACTTGGAATGGCTGACCTTTACCCTTTGCTCTTGCTACGTGACTGGCCGACATCCTTTTCCACCAAAGATTTCTTGCGCCATTCTTCCCAGTTAGGTCGTCAGTGGAAAAAATGGTACTGCCTCCTTCCACCTACCATACAGCTCTCCAATTCCCTTGGGGTCAACCACAACTTTGTTCTTCAGAGTGTCGTATTTCAACATTCTTAAATGTGCAACTTGGCTTGGAGATGTTTGTGTTAAAAAGATGGCTTTTTGTGTTGTGTAAGGGATCATGGAAAGCCCTAGACAATTCCCCAGATGCAATGTGTCCCGTATCCTTCTAGGCTGACATCAGTGTCCATCGGCAGTGCTGGTCTCAGACACATGAATCAATATGCTCATTCACTGGACTGGCCATCCAACTGCATGCAGAGTATGGGAAACAGACATTTGGCATCCCCTACATTGTTCCTGTCTGCCCTGTTGGGCTGATATCTGGAGTAAGCAGGGATCTCACTGAAGGGTTTAGCAGAGCCAGCACAATATCCCTGGCAAGCAGTAGCACTTGGAGGACCTTACCAGTCTGGCACAGGGCATTCCCCAGGACAGTGCCAAAGAACTCTGGAAGCTTATGTCTGTCTCTCTGTTTTATGCCTTGCTTTTGATGAATAATCAGAGGGTCACTGAACTGATCTTAACATAAGCATGAGAAACCCTTATACTTTTTGCCTAGATTTTGTTCTTACCAAATCAAATTATACTCAACAAACATTTAAGTGGCCACTGTGTGCCACTTCTAGGTGAGCCCATTGTTAAATTTTTAGGGGTGAGCATTTACACCTCAGAAATACAAATGCTACACCTCAGGGCTTGGTTTATTGTTTGGTAGACCACCCGGACTTCAGAGAGTATTAATAAAGATGGCTAAATGTTTAATAGGAAGGTACTCATAGAGCCTATATCAGATTGCACGCCATCTTGGGGAGGAAGGGGGAGAAAATTTAAAACTGAAAAGTTTATGGAAGCAAATGTTGAAAACTAAAATAAATTACTCAATTAAAAAAATAATGACGATTAAACTTAACTATATGTGCAACAAACATTTTCCCCCAGAGAGCTCATTGTTAAACATTTATCAGCATTCCCCAGTATGGTTCTAGAAACATTGTTTGAGCTCAGGAGGGGTCCATTAGAAGGCTCAGAAGCTGGAGGGGTAGCGATAACAATTAATAATAATAACTGGCATTTAAGCAGCCCTTTAACATTGCAAAGTGCTTTACAGTAACTATCTTATTTGAGCCTCATGAGATCCCTCTATGTGCCAGACACTTCGAGGCACTAGAGACATTAAGACAAACACCCAACACAGTCTCCCCCCTCAAAGAGCATCCATTCTACTGTAGAGGTATAATGTACACGCAGATAAGGAAATGCAGGGTAATTTGAGAAGGAAAAGAAGTGAGTACATGAGGAGATTAAGAAAGGCTTCATGTTACACTAATGCATTGTTGGTGGAGTTGTGAAATGATCCAACCATTTTGGAGAGCAATTTGGAACTATGCCCAAAAGGCTATCAAAATGTGCACACCCTTTCACCCAGCACTTCTAGGGCTGTATCCCAAAGAGATCATACAAATGGGCATAGGGCCCACATGTCAAAAATATTCATAGCAGCTCTTTTTGTGGTGGCAAAGAATTGGAAATTGAGAGGATGCCCATCAATTGGGGAATGGCTGAGCAAGTTGTGGTAAATGAATGTAATGGAATACTATTGTGCTATAAGAAATGATAAACAGGCTCACTTCAGAAAAACCTGGAAAGACGTGTATGGACTGATGCTAAGTGAAATGAACAGAATCAGGAGAATGTTGTACACAGTAATAGCCATGTTGTGTGATAACTTATTTGGATAGACTTAACCCTTCTCAGCAATTCAAAGATCTAAGACATCTCCAAAGGCCTCATGATGGAAAATACTATTCACATCCAAAGAAAGAACTATGGAGTCTGAATGCAGATTGAAGCACACTATTTGCTATTTTTTTTTCTTCTGTTGTGTTTTGTTTCCTTTTTCTGGTGGTTCTTCCTAATGGTTATAATTCTTACAACATCACTAATGTGAAAATATGTTTCCTAGGAATGTATATGTATAGCCTATATCAGATTGCACTGGCTTGGAGAGGAAGGGAAGGAGGGGGAGAAAAATTTAAACTCAAAAGCTTATGGAAATGATTGTTGATAATTCAAAATAATTAATTTAAAAAAAGAAAGGCTTCTTGCTGAGCTGAGCATGAACATGAAGATGAAGATTTTGAAAAGTGGTGATGAAGAAATGCATTCCAAACATGGGAAACAGCCATGGAGATGGGAGTACACTGGAGGACAGGGCGCACTCTGGGAAATGACATGACATAAATCTGGGAAGGCAGGCAGGGGCCAGCTTGTGGAACAGCACAAATGTCCCCCAAGGAACCAAGAAGACTTGTGAGCAGAGGAATGGACATTTAGACCTGTGCATTAGATTATATTGGCAATGGTGGAGAGGATGGATTGGAGAGGGAAAGAAGACCAACCAGCAAGGAACTGTGAGGTTTCAGTTGAGAAGTGATAAAGGCCTCACTGGGATGTGGTTTGTGACTGAAGAA